TTGAGATGGAAAATTACTCAACACCCATACCCTAAGAAATATGAGTTTATGTTAGAATGCTTAAGGCTGCGCTTGGAAACAATGCAAATAGAGTGTAAATCCCGGTTCAGGGTAAATTTGCACTCTAGTTCACTTTTGCCTGTGTTTGGCAACATTACATTTATGTAGTGACAAATGACAGACCAATGCATATTTACATTGATAATAAGATGTAAAACTACATCATTAAAAAAGAAGTAAATTTGCATTCAAGTGGGTTTTTAATAAAAAAAAAAGAAAATGCTTTATTGAAATTCATGTTTGCATTCATTACAGCTAAAAGTCTGTTTGGTAAGAAGGTGAGTACAAAACTAACACAATTTTACACTCTGCATATTTGCATTCACACTTATTTGCATTGTTTCCAAACGCAGCCTAAGGACTCTAGGAAAACATAGAAGATCCACCTAAAATATATATAGGATCAGATAGACTCATTGGCTTGGACACCAGATTTGAGGCTCACACTACCCGGGTAGATGGCAAACTGGCTACTTTAGAAGGCTGGTCAATGGAAGATCTTCTTGGAACTTTTGATAACTTCATGGATCAATACTATTCCAGTCGTACTCCTTAGGATGGTCTTTGTGTTTTCTAACTCTTTTACCCCTTAATATGCTTTTGAACTTATCTTTGTTTGGTCAGTGTACTTTAGGCTCAGTTTGGAAGAAATACAAATGTAAATATGTAGAGTGCAAAACCTTGTATTTTGTATTATTTTGTATGTATTTGCATTGTACATATTTTTATTTGTACAAATATGTATAGTATGAATACATACAAAACAATACAAAATACAAGGTTTTGCGCTCTACATATATTTTTATTTGTACTCTTCCTAGACTATGCCTTAACGAAATTGTATGTTTAATGATTTATGCACCTTTTTACAACTTAATGCGTATATCTGAGTGATTTAAGTTTATTACTCRATTATTCTTTTCCTCTACTCTCTTTTTTGCTAATACCAAACAAAAGAGCAAGAAATGTGTGTCATTACTACGAAAAATGATAAGCTAGTATGTGTCATTACTGTGGATAATGTGAAAAATGATATCATCTGCTAGTATGTGTGATTGTTATGGATAATGATATCATCTAAACAAAAATGGCGGAAATATTTGAAACAAGGGGATGCATCATTTACATGAAACAAGGGGAGATAACAAAATAGTATTGTCAACGTTCTTATCTTGTGCTGATTATTTTCCTACTATTGCATCTATGTGATTATATCCATATTGTATAGCATAATGACAGAGGGGAGTTAAACCTATACTCTCTATGAGAAGCTTTTAAATGTTATTATTTTTTAATCAATGGTTTTTCACCATAAAAAAGGAAAAATTGTTGGCGCTATATGTTTTGATGATTACAAACTCATTGAGAATGCTAACATTTATGTAAAAATTTTGTAGTTGTATTAAGTGTTTCCTAAGTTTGAGCTGAAGAAAAATTATTGAGATCACTAATGGTTCAAGGCAAAGAGGAGTAGGTTGTATCAAATGATAGGACAAATTCTTTTCCAAGATTCACAACATTGGGCTTAATTGACCTTTGTTGGTATAACCAAAACCTTAGAGACCATGGTTAAATGACTAGGCTTTCCCTAAATTGTGTACTTAGCGTAACTATGAAATTTCTAAGTGATGAGGCTTATGAAGTCGACTCCCAAGCCTAATGAGTCGCTTACACAAAATTTCTAAAGTGGGCATAATTATTAATCAACTACCCATAAGGAAGTAGCTAACTACATGTGACAACCAAATTGTGTACTTAGCGTAACTATGAAATTTCTAAGTGATGAGGCTTATGAAGTCGACTCCCAAACCTAATGAGTCGCTTACACAAAATTTCTAAAGTGGGCATAATTATTAGTCAACTACCCATAAGGAAGTAGCTAACTACATGTGACAACCAAGGCTAGTGTTAGTAGTTGACTACCAATGATAGTCAAGCCTAGTATTCGACTATGTCTATTAGTCAAAGCATATTGATCTAAGTAGTTAACTAACAAGGGTATTCTTCTTCTTTTTCTTCTCCCCCTTCCGTCATAATTGACTCTTTTCCAAACCACCACCACCACCTCTCTCTCTCTCTCTCTCTCTCTCTCTCTCCCTTTTTTTGCTTTCCTACTCCCTTTTTTCGCTTTCCCTCCTCTCTTCCTCACATTGATGTTGCATTGAACATGGAAACAAATTCGGTTATGGGATACATATTTATTTATTTTTTATTTATCTTTGTGTTTATCCAATATATGGTTTTGTTAAGTTATGTCTATAATTGTCTTTTCCACAACTATAAGTACTTACGGGATAAATGACTCACCAAACACTGCAACACAGATRGATACTTAAAATAAGTATAAGTGGTTTGAGAAAAGACCTTCTAAACACTAATAAGTACTCAAAAATAAGAACTTATGAAATAAGTACTTATTTGCCAAACATACCCTACAAATTTTAATAATGTTAAAAATGTGAATTTTGACATCTCACTTTATTATTAGTTCACAATTTTTGTTGTTCAATGCAATTTCTACACCATTGCATTTGCCTACATTCATACATATAAAATATATGCATGTATGGTATCCATAATAATTGTACATACAAATATGAGGGCATTTTATGTTCAGATTAGTCAGGTTTCCCAATACCTCAACCCTAATCCTAGCCCAAACTTCAACCTAATAGCCCAACCTAGGTTTCGGCTAACACAACCTAAGTTTCAGCTCTACTCCTTATGGATGTCCAATTGATTCCATGCATTAGTACATATTTAACTTGGCATTTTCTTGGACGGGGAAAACGAAATCATTCCAATAGCCTATCAAAGTATCTTCATCAACTAAGCCCTATTCAAAGAGTTTCTTTTGGTGATAACAAACCCCCAAACTAACCTCCATAAAAATAGCTTATATTTTGAAGTAACTTTTAGACCATGTTTGGTTTAATTCTAATTCTTACCTAAGACGAAATTCTAAAATGGACAAGAATGGGCAAAAATAGGCTGAATGAGAAAATATTGCTATGAATTAAACACTTTTTTTCTTAAAAATGAATTAGAAAGTGTTTATCACTTGGCATAGATGTTTTGTAAAAGTATTTTCGTAAAAGTGTTTTTTATAAAAGTACTTTCGTAAAAGTGCTTTTATTAAAGTACTTCCGTAAAAGTACTTTCATAAAGTACTTCCATAAAAATGCTTTTATAAAAGTACTTTCGTAAAAATGCTTTTATAAAAGTATTTTAATAAAAGTACTCACAAAAGTGCTTTAGTAAAGTACTTTTATAAAACTACTTTCGAAAAGTGCTTTTATAAAAGTACTTTCATAAAAGTGCTTCCATAAAAGTGTTTTTATAAAAGTGTTTTCATAAAAATACCTTCATGAAAGTGCTTTAGTAAGTCTTTTTATAAAAGTGCTTTCATGTAAAAGTACATTTATAAAAGTGCTTCTATAAAAGTATTTTTATAAAAGTGCTTTCACAAAAATAAACATCTATGGCAACAGTTTTGTAGGCAAAGTCTCCCCAAAGAATGAAAATGAGCAAGATTGGACATGATTATTTCCCATGAGTTCAGCTTCTGTCAAGGCAAGTCGGTGCTCACATCATTCTAACAGTCCCTTGCAACCTTGCATTGGAAATATCTCCCATGAAATAAATCATACAAGTATGGAGATATTCCCAACATAAGGTTGTAAAGGCTGTTAGAACCGGTTTTGCTCTAGCCGAAGCCAAACTCATTTTTCATGTTGTAAGCTACTCAATTTTTGTGTTATGGGACTGATTTTTCATTCTAAAAAAATATGGTTATGGCAAGAATTTTGTAACCAAACATTCTAATGTTATTCATTATTGCCCATTCTTGCCTACAATGAGCAAGAATTAAAAAAATGAGGCCTAGAATAATGAACCAAACATGGCCTTAGCATTCTTTGCGGAAATGATAGGCCATATGTTCCTTTTTTTTGTCCTTCTGTGAGAGCGACAATCTTTGCCTGCCTATGGACTTTTACTCTTGAAGGGATATTCTCCTCAAGTGATCCAATGTGTTCTTGATTTGAATCTGCTTCTGTTGTAGCAAATTGGGCATAGGGGGTGTAAACGGTATTCAAAAATTTGAATTCGAATTCAAAATTTAATATAATCTAATCGAATTTGGAGGAGACGATCCAATTCGATAATATATATTATACGTATATATCGATATATGTTAATATATTATTTTGTTGGAGTACAATGAACGATGACTTTTGGAAAAATTTCTTTTATAATATTATTTTAATAATAAAGAATTGAATGGAGACAGAGACGCTATGATGATTTTCGACCAAATAAAATAATAGTTTAATACTTGTTATATTTTAATAATAAAACAATTGAACCGATGCAAATGTTATGATGATTTTTGGAACAAACAAAATAATATTTTAATATTTTTTTATCAAAATGCATGCATCTCATTAATTATTTTGTACTTTTCATTTCAATCACTTTTAATTTACTATTCATCTTTCTTCTTCCTCGGTTCTTACCCTACAACATTTTTTCTTCGTAGCTTCTTTTCTTTTGGTCCATTGTAACTTGTAAGTTTTAATCCCTTTCTTCATTAATTGTTTTTTATTTTTTACATACAAGTGTTTTTTTATTCTTTATTTCTTTTGGTCCATTGAGCTGACACTTGTTGCAGCAATATCAAATAGATGGCTATGATTCAAAAAAAAAATAATAATTTTTTTTTCTTTGTTTTTTGAATATTAGATCGATAGGAAATGAAAAAAACTTCAAACCAGATTTCTTCTTCTTCCCCTTCATTAAAAATGTATTTAAAAATCGAATCAAATTCGAATATTCGATTATTTAGACGAATTTGAATATGCATCTATTTAATCGGTTTCGAATTCAAACCAAGCCTGATTCTCGATTCGAATTCGCTCCGTTTACACCCCTAGTTGGACAGTCCAAAGTAGCCCCCGCTCATTGTTATCCGGGTTCGGCGCGGAGTTCGACCCGACACCTACGTCCCGACTCTTCAGTTCTCATAACTCGCAAGTCTTGCTCTTAACAGATGACAGGCACTCGAGTCGAGAAGTCCCCTAACGACGAGCAAACCACCGCCCATTACCTCTAACTCTATCATGCGCGGGGGAGACATCAAACCAGACCCACGCTGCATCCACGCCTACACCATCAAAAGATTCAAAACTGCCAACGGTGATCCCTCGCTCTACAACAGTCTCATCACTCTATACTCCAAATCAGACCTCCTATCCGACGCTCTGCGTCTCTTCCATCTGATCGAATCACCCAACGTCGTCTCATGGACGGCCTTGATTTCTGCGCATGGAAACACCCTATGCTCCCTTCAGCACTTCATATCCATGCTTCGTCGTCCTGTCCTACCCAACCAGAGGACTTTAGCTTCCCTCCTCAAAACGTGCGCTTCCCTCCCTTGCCTTCCCTTCGGCCTCCAACTACATTCCCTCTCTCTCAAACTCTCCCTCTCTCACCTCCCATTTGCCGGATCTGCTCTCGTCCGCTTCTATTCGAAATGCCGGCTTCCTGCGGATGCTAGAAAAGTGTTCGACAGAATTCCCCAAAGAGATGAAGTCTGTTATTCTGCAATCATTGTGGGCCTCGCGCAGAATTCTCGATGCATCGATGCGTTATCCGTCTTCGCTGACATGAAATCTGCAGGCGTTGTGTCTACTATGTATAGCGTATCTGGCGCACTTCGTGCGGCCGCAGAGGCTGCCGCGCTTGAACAATGTAGAATAATTCACGCTCATGCGGTTGTTACTGGCCTTGAGTTGAATCTTGTTGTTGGGACTTCTTTGGTTGATGGGTATGGAAAATCGGGTCTTGTTATGGATGCACAGCGCGTCTTTGACGGAATGTTGCCCGATGCGAACATCGTCTTATGGAATGCAATGATGGCTGGTTATGCACAGCAGGGGGACAAGAAGTCGGTGCTTGAGCTATTTAACGGGATGAAGGATCAGGGTCTTGTTGCTGACGAATATAGCTTCCTTGCGATCCTAACTGCGTGCTGCAATGTGGGGTCGGTGCTCGAGGCACAACAGTGGATTAGTTGCATGAAGTCAGATTACGGGGTGGAACCAGGACTCGAGCATTATACATGTGTGGTTGGTGCAATGGCTCGAGCAGGCCAGCTAGAGGATGCCGAGCGCCTGGCCATGACCATGCCATTCAAGCCTGATGCTGCAGTTTGGCGAGCCCTGCTTTCAGCCTGTGCGGTCCATGGTGCAGTTGACATGGCTTGGACCATGGGACGGCGACTCTTGGAGCACGACCCACGAGATGACTCTGCATATGTGATTCTTGCAAATGTCCATGCAACTGCGGGAAGGTGGGCTGAGGTAGCTGAAGTGTGGAAGTTGATGAAAGATAGAAGGGTGAGGAAGGAGGGTGGTCGGAGCTGGATTGAGGTTCGTGGGGAAGTTCATGTGTTTTTATCAGGTGACAGGAGGCATGAGAGAACAGCAGAGATTTACGCCAAACTGGCAGAACTAATGGAGGAGATTAGGAAATTGGGGTATGTGGAGGTTTCGGATGCAATGTTGCACGAGGTGGAAGCAGCAGAGAAGAGGGCGGCACTCTGGTATCACAGTGAAAAGTTGGCTGTGGCGTTTGGGTTGGTGGTTGGGGCGGCACCACCGGGGAAGGCCCTGAGGGTGGTGAAAAATCTCAGGATTTGCAGGGACTGTCACGAAGCTTTCAAGTATATGAGTAAGGTGATAGATAGGGAGATTGTTGTGAGAGATGTCAACAGATATCATAGGTTCTTGCAGGGGAGTTGTACATGTGGAGATTATTGGTAATTTTAGGTGGTTATTTACGAAGTTTTAATCACATGAAGGAAATATCACTGCTTTAGTTCTTTAACCTGAACAAATTCTTCCATTTCTAAAGTGCTCCTCATATATATTACATCAACAAAGCACACATAATGGGATTTACAGAGATGRAAATTAGTTTCCATTTTAGTGATTTTGATTTCTGAAATAGACATTGAAATCAACTATACCGGGGAATACTAAGGCTCTATTTAGGAGGGGTGCAAACACTAGTTGGGGACATATATGCACTTTTGTTCAATTTTGCAGGTGTGGATAGAATGCATTGTGTATTGAAAATGACAGTAAACATGGATTCCAATTTCCAAGACATGTTTGTATTCAAATTGAGAGCAAAGTTTGCATCCAAAATATTGATGCAAACTTTTGCACTCAAAGTTGGTCAATGTAAAACAGTGAATTCCAGCCTTGGAATTGGTGTTTATACCCATCACAACTAAGACACAGATGGGTGTAACACCACCCAAAGAACAGGGAAATTCTAATATTCTACAATTTACCCTTTCTTAGATGATGACGATGATGATGAATTTTCCCTCTACATTTTCTTGTTTTAGTTTTTGTTTGATATAAAGTATAAACAAAGTTCAAAGTATCATATTATCGATTCACAAAATTTGCATATGGCGAGTATTTAAACTATTTTTTTTATTTTTTTGGTTTGGTAATTACTAATTTGTCAGTAGGCATGTAATATCAGTTATTAATATTGAAATCACCTAACCCTTCGTAGTTAGAGGTATCGATGACCCTGAAAACCAATATGTATTAGGCCAACTGCCAAGCTACGTTTTAACAGGTCTATTGGAAATTTGAGCTACCTGGGTTCCGGACAGGCCCACACTCACATACCAGCCCAGCTCTGATAATATATGCCCCGACCTGCTTCTATACCACTATTCCAGAGTGGGCTGTGTGCATCTAGGCTTTGCCCAGATGGGTTATTAAGGTTAACAGTATTGCGAATTAAAGGTGCCAACTAGCTCAATTGGCAAGGTGAGTAGGTGACCACCTCTTGTAAGAGCAAATCAACCTCAACATAATATGCAAAGATAAAACAAAAACTGAAAGTGAGTTAAAAATTCTTTATCAGCAAAACCTAGAAAGAGACCAGGGAAAGAAAAGGCTGAAGTGGAGAATCAGGCATTCAGGCTCTAAGCTTTGCTCCAAAAGAGGTAGGTTATGCAAATGGTAGTATGTAATGGTGGAAGAACCCTGTTAAAAAAAATGTCTGCAAAAAGATAAAAAAAAAAAAAAAAAGTTCTCAACATAGACGTTTTGAACAAGTCATTGCACAACTCCGATCACCTATATTGAGTCATAATATCAAGGTAAATTGTCATCAGCTATGAAAAACGCGTTAAAGAAACTCAAGTAAAACATCAACGGAAGAACACAGTAAATTGCAGTTTCAACACCAGGAAAATCATCCACCAAAACCCAATCAGCCTAATTATGATGCATAGTGGGTCTGCTTTATAATTTTGACAAATGCATTGGCTCTAGTTTAGTTATTTTCTCTGTTACTCAACAAAATGATAAATCATTTTCCCTGTTTCCCTGGAAATTTTGCTACATCAAATAAGAAAAATATCGGCAACATATCACTCCAAGTCGTAGAAAATAAAGAAGGCAGTGAGAATCTTTGCTCAATTAAAGTAAGAACTGGACAAGGCAGGAGATTCCAGCACTATTTGAAGATCTATTATTTTGCCCTCGTATAATATCTAGAGGAAAAATGCAGCAAGCTTGAGATTAACTGTATTATGGTTGATTTTGAAAAGATAGGAAAGCTAGAGTCCGCAGTGGAACAGAGCAGACACCTGAAAACCTAATAGATCATATAAATATTAGGGTAGCTCACCGGGTCCACAGTAGAAAGGAGTTCAGAGATTTCAATCCAGATGATATAGTTAAAATGTGGTAATGTGCACCTTCCTCTTCCATATCCGAGTATATTGTTCCTTAGATTTGGTCTCCTCTACCCCAAGGAGTAACAAAGCTTAACTTTGACAACTGCTCGTTGGAAAATATGGGGCAATCGGCAGTTGGAGCCATATTCAAGAGTCATGAGGGAGAAATCCTAGAAGCTCTCAGTTAGCTTTGGAGATTCAATTCGAGCAGAGTTGTCATCCCTACTCCATGCGAAAGCTTGCAACTGATACAATCTTAACGTTCACGCAGAATGGGGGTAGAGCAGACTCATCAGCAGTGGAGTTGGTTTGATGAATGGTGGGGAAAGGCTGTTTTCTTTTTCGTCATTGTATCAAGGAAGCTAGATAATTGGCATAGTTGTCAAGACATCAAGGCAATTCTAATTAACAATGGAGTACCCAGTTGCCTTTATTAGAAAAAAGAAAGTTTTATACTAGTTCCCTAGTCTTTACATACCAATCAGCATGCATGAGTTGAAAAAAATAGCAACACCTATTTACTAATAAAGATCAATTTTCCTCTCAGAACAAAGCAAATCATCATATCTAAAAGACAATGGCATTTTAAATTAATAAATTTTAATATTCCAAACACAACACTATAACATAATAAGTATTTAATAGAACAATACCATGTCAAAAAAATTATTAACTAAAGATGGCTATAATTTTATACTAATAAAATAAAAAAGAGAAACAAAAAGGGGAAAGAACAAACGGCCGAGTGCTTGGATCTTTTATGTTTTAATATAAAGTTCCTAAACAAAGCATTAACAGTATAGATAATATAAGGATGTATTAAGAATTCAAGACACGTAGGAATAGAATATTAATATAAAGTGGCAGTTACAATAAGGTGGATACCTTGTGAATTTTGTCATCTAGGCAGGATGTCTTATTGCCTATGTGGGCATTTACTGTCTAGACACCTACCTAGATGGGTACCCTTTTTACATAAGACATGGCTTTCAAGAAAGTCACCAATGAAATTTGCTTTGTTGCCTAGGTAGGCACCAAGGCAAAGCTAGGTGACCAGGGAGCACCTAGAAACCTAGATGCCACCTAGCCAATGAGTTTTGAAAATATAAATCCCCAAGTCCTAAATCAATCCCTAAATCCTCAAGATGTGGCTGGTTTCTTCAGCCCAGGATTCATAAGGCAGCCTAAAAACAGAGGAAGAATAATGTGGAGGGCAGTGAGAGCAGCTCTAATATGGCTCATTTGGGAAGAAAGAAATGGGTGGATCTGCAAAAAGTATAGAAAAAATAAGACATAATAGACGGCATAAAGGTGAAAGTGACACATTGGGTGAAAATAATGAAGATATTCAAAGTGTTTTTGGTAGATGACATTCTGAGAACCTGGGAAGTGGTGGAAAAGTCCTCATGTGTAAAGGCCATGGTTATTCTTGGAAATGGAAACTTCCCTCACACAATAGAATAAAGCTGAACATTGATGGAAGCTCTTTGTGGCAATGTATTAAGGGCCAATTGCACATGTAGATTCACTAAAAGCTGAGGTTCTATATCTTTTACAAGGGCTGAGACTGGCAAAACAACATGGACTGAAGCAGGTGGAGGTGGAAGGTGACTCAAAGTAAGTTTTCTCTTGGATGAGCTGCAACAACTCTGCTGCTTGGATGTACAGGAATATTTGAAGGGAGATTGGTAATTTAGCTAAAGAGCTGGAAGCTACATTCAGATGAGCCAAAAGAATTGCAAATGAATTGGCTGATGTCCTGGAAAATCAAGGGGTTTAGAGGGAATGGTTGTTTTATGCAAAATTGTAATATGGGCTAGATGTAATGGGCAGCTGGAACCGTCTCCAGCATTAAATTGTAATGTCAACTTCTTTAATTAATGAATGAAATTTCTGTTGCTGATAAAAGTATTTCCTTTTTTGCATAATAAGAAGCAATTATCTACAACGACAATTAGCAGTAATACTCATCAAGTGACTAGAGATTTCATATTAAAACATAGAAAATCATCATATTCATGAGAAGACAGCCATTTAAATATATTAATTTCAAATTACATTGCAATATGATAATAAGAATTTAACAAAAGCAATTAAATTAAAAAAGAAACAACAACAACAACAACCAGGAAACACCTTGAAGTCCATGACATGGGGTCTTTACCACTGATATGGATCATCATAACATGAAATGTCTAGCCAAAAAAATAAATAAAGGGGCAGGAACCCCTGCTTCACTGCCAAAATAGAGCAGAAAATAAACAACAAAAGGAAGGGGCAGAACCCCACCTATTTTATACCAAAATCCACCTATTTTAACGTGGATAAATAAAAAAAAAGGGAGCAGAGTGCCCATTTTAGCACCAAAATCCCACCCTATTTTAGTATAAAAAAATTAGCAAAAAAGAAATTGGTGCAGCTCCTGTTTTAGCACTGAAATAAAAAATAGGTTAAGTGTTATATTAGTAGTGTTACAGTGCAGCAAGACTCATAAAAAAATGTTGTAGTGCAGAAAGTGTATCTTAAGACAATAAGCCATCTAATATTAAAATAGTATAAAGTGTCCACCAAACCATTTTGGATGCCTAAGCACCAGCCYCAACACCTAGGCAGGCACTTAAACAATTAAGCAAACACCTTGTACAAAATCTTTTGAGCAACTCTTTGTGGCAATCATGGAAAATTGTTAGTCGCCTTGACAACTATGGCTGTGTGGCACCTAGGTCAGGTCATTCGTGGCAACATCTTTTTCAACTGGTTCTGAAAATCAGATAATGAACTACGATTCCTTGACCAGGAGGGGTGGCAAGATTGTTTTGTACTAGGTTCAGCCCTTTCAAATTATCTTTGTATTGGAATGAACAGAGAGCTCTCCCTGGGTCAGTTTAATGAGTTACTTTTCTCTTCACCAAGCACAGGGGCCTTCTAGTGCCCTAAGCACAAGATGCAAGGCAAAACACATGCCTTATTTAAGCAAGACAGTTTTTAGAAACATTTGAAAAAAAAAATAGTGACACATAAAACTACAAACCTGAATTTTAAAAGAAATTAGATGTTTTAAAAAGCCTATTTGCTCAAATTAAAATATATAATCATAACATATACAACATAATAAAAGTGAAACTGTGGGAGTGAAAGCAAACATATGTAGAACATACCAAAGTGCTTACCTTAAAAAATAAATAAATGACAAAGTGCTTCAAGTCGTCAACGATTCAAGCATGTGAGGCTTTCAGTATATTAATTTATCACCTAGTTACATTACTTCAAAAAGTTGGTGTGATGTTCAACATCTAACATTCCTAAACCAAGGAGATAGGCCCTATAAGGGCTATTGCAGTTGTGTTCCTGACCTAAGTTTTACCTGCATACTCAAAACATTCTATTTTAGGATTAAGGACCAGATTAGTTGTATTGTTATTTGATAGTTAATATTAGTTGTATTGTCATTGCTTCATTAGTGGAAATTTTGCAATTTGAGATCCCATTTGCAGGAACTAATGTTTTAGGTATTTGAAGGGTCATTATTTTTGTTTATTTTAATAGCTAATAGACCATTATTAGTTCACAAACATAAAAAGAAAGGGTAACTTAGAAGTTGATAAACCAAGACAAAGATGTCAAACAAAAAAAAAAACATTTTTGAAAAAGGCACACAGCTGGACTGAGGAACAAGGCACATTTGCTTTTGAGAGGGGATGTGCCTGGGTTCAAGTCAGGTGCAGGTCTTAAAATGCGCTTTGTCTTTGGACCTAGGGATGCCTTTTAAAAAACTACTATCTGCTCCTTTGTTTTGCTGTTTTTATTTTCATGCTATTATTAGAATCCATGTTGATCTTGTTACTGATATAAAAAAGTAAGGGCAGATAAAATAGAAAAAAACATACAGTAACTTGAGAGAATTGTCTTATCACAATCCTTACAAGGTAAACATGGACACCCATCACCATCCCCTATACATGGATACACAGGACAGTTAATTTAGATCATTAGATGATTCTTAGTGGGTGGAAATGACATGTAGCCTTAAAATTGCATGTAGTGCTGATACATTCAAATCATTAACCTGCTTCTGTATGACCAAAATAATGTTAAGGACAATAGTTGGAAAAAAAAAAGCAAACGAATAAGAAACAAACAAAAAACAAAACGCATGACATATAGAAAACTTTGGGGTGGTAGATGTATGCCATTAGAAATCTTCAATCATTACACTAGGTATCCAAGTCTTATATTGGCAACTGGATTAAACATACTCCAAACTGATCTCAAGGTTGAACATATACAAACGCTGTCACATCAATTACATGGTTACAATGCAAGGGATGTATCTCAAGCAAACAAGAAAGATGAGATGTAACTTCTTGAGCCTTTTTTATGGGYAGTTGTAGCTTGAACCTTTGTCATTACATCCGTTCAGTTGATTGTCATACCATCTAGACTAACAGATTTTCAAATCAGGCTGGACGTTAAATTGATTGGAATAGGAAAAGAACAAATTGAAGAATTAACCATGAACCTTCAACGAGCCATATATGCAAAATAAACTAAAAGGAAGTTACTATTAAAACAAAACTTAGATAGGTCCTGTCTATAAAAGGTCCACAAAAGAATCATGTGGTGCAAAGTTTGATTGTTATCTATCGGATTGGCATTAGAGACGAGAAGAAATGTATAAATATTGCTTGAGGATCGAATACTTTTCTTCGAGCTTCCGGAATTCGAAGTTCAAAGCCAATTCCTTCACGTTATCACAAGACAAATTCAATCCCAACCTCAAATTTGGCTTGTTAACCAGTTTGTGATTTTATTGAATAGTATAGAAGCTCAGTTTTATAAAGTGCAACGTGCTCTTGACTAGCAGCTAAAGCAATCACTAAATCGATTTAACATGAAAAGTAAAGGTGTTACATCCACTTTAACCCGGAAAACAAAAACCCTAAAATAGGGCCAACACCTTGCATTATATCAAATTACAGGAACATCAAAAACCCGTAAAACCCCAAAGCCTAACCATCCCAGCACAGGAACCTGAACTAAACCCTTGAAACACGAAATGGAAAACAAACCCCTACCGAAAGGGAGAACAAGGAAAAATCTCTAACCTGAGCACCTGCTATTATTCATCATTTCTGAGGCGCCACAGGTGGGGTACCGAGCAAGCTTGCCTGCTGCATCTCGAGCTCATTCATCTGCTGCTCTCGATCCATCTCAATGATGAGAGGAACCACCAGGATCAGAAACGTCGTTCCTGCAATCCAAGCTGCTTTCCCAGTGCTCTTCAGAAGCTTCTTCGTTACGAAAGCTGCATCAGACGCCACTAGTTTTCCTTGCTGGACGATGGATGATTGAGATATTGTGTTCGTAACCCTAGCAAGCACACCTTCCTGGCCGCTGCGATTTTTTCCTCCTTTTCTGCTCTGAGACGCCATTAGAGAGGGTGTGACTTTTGGGGAGTGGCTCGTTGTTTAGAAGTAGAACTGAAGACTGAAGCCGTTGTGGGAGAACAAGCCCTTCGATAAGCTACTGCATGAGATATTATAAACAACTGATCCTATATCGCCTGTGTCACTGTGTACCATGGATGATGATTCATGATATTTAACTAGTATGGACTGGGGACCAAATGGCATCGGTGGTCCCACTCCTTTCTGAAGAAATCTTTGACTGTTAATCTTATTTGGATTCTTTTTAGGTAAGCCTATTACCATCCGATCATTATCTTAACTGTGGCCTGTGGGAGAGCAAAAATCCCCACCTTTAGGACTTTGCCTTCTGAATTTATGGGCCTAGGTCCATTTTCATAAATGGATGGGCTCAACTCTCAAGAAGTCTCAAGAATGTATACTGGCCTACTTTCAGGCCTGGCCCAACCCATTTGAAATCCAAGACAAGAGACAGAGAAAGAGAGAGAGAGGCTAACCTTTGGGGCAACCTGGTTTAGCAAATAGACAATGACTTACCTATTGTTTGCATGATTACTTAAAGTATGAATAATGGACAAAGTTACCCTTTACCATCAGTTCGTCGTTAATATCTACTAGTATATGATACCATGCGATTTTTTCTAGCGGCAGTTTTTCCGACCGTTGGTAAAACTCTCAAAACTGCCACTAGAATTAGAGTTTTAGCGGCACTCATTGACTGCCGTTAAAGATCTCCAATATGGCGGCAAAAGAACATATAGCAGCAGCAATCACAAATGTCACTAAAGATCCTACTTTAATTTTTTCCACCAGCCAAAATAATCTGGAATTTTGTCCTTTGTTTTAAATTATTAAACAAAGTTATAATTTGATTCAAATAAGTTATTTTCTCTTCATTTGAAGTTAAATACAAAAAATCAAAACATCAATTACAAATAAAATATAAATATTCGAACGAAGGTTAAATCCTGCACAAAGGATGAAAACAATTGTAAATAAATCTGAATCAAAATCATAAATAATAAAATATCAATTATGCAAACAAATTAGAAAAGTAYTAAAATTTAAGAAACTCAAATAGCTGCTAACCAATGCTTGTACACACCCACTCACAAAGACCATAAGTTAATTAACTGTTATATATTGGCACTCGGCCCTTGTAAACCCCAATTTTGCTAAACCAAACTTATCGGCCTTCATTCTACTTAAGCTATCAGCTTAACTATGGATTTAGCCCCATCAAAACGAATTGAAACTTACATTATTTATCTGATAGATTGAATGACTTGATTCATAAATACTATGTTCTGAAAATCATTCCTAGTTCTACCAAATGTCAAAACATATTCAACCATGAAAACATGGAAACCTTGACTACTGGAAGATCCATGAGGAACTAATCATTTTGGGACTTCAAACCAGTTATTAATAACTGGCAGGATAGAGAATATGAACTATAGACTGTCCAGTTAGATCCTACTAGTCAAACTTCTCTGAAAGTGTAAACCAACACTATTGACACATTTTGGTGGAAATGTTGCAAAGAGTAATTTATGATTACCAGAATTACACTTAACAAGAAAGTAACATCCATGTAGAACTACTGTCACTTGGTAAAGTTATAATGTAAAAAGTTTTATTACAAATGATATGTCAGGGTGCTTCATGTCCTGAATGAAGGAGGAAATTAATGAAGAATGGTGAATGCAAATTTGTTTCATTTTCTTTACTAGTTTGACAACGAATGCTTTTCTACAACATTGTTGAAATTTCTGTGAATTCAAATTAATGGCACAATCTGAAGATAAAGAAGACAAAGTTTCTGCCTACTATATCATATCTTACCACCTTAACTAGGTTTATTTCAAAGAATGACAAAACATGTAGAACACCCTATCTTTACCACCAATAAATTTTAGACTTTAGACCTGGAATGAGGATTTAAATTAGAAGTATTTTCCAATTATCTTGTAATACATGAACGCAGGTGGGGACACACCAGTAGCATACCACAAGTAGGTCAAGAATAAATTGGTAATAAACTCTAATATGATTGTTTGCTTCAACACCTTTCTTATACAACCTTACAGGAACTAAAATAGTTTATCTTTTTGAAAATCTTATTCTTGGTGAATTCTTGGACGTTTAGCTTTCAAGTCAATCAATCAGGTGATTGGCTTTACTTTTTTACATCATCAAACGGATAGAGTGTTAATGTTTTCTGGTCCTAACTCTATGGGATCAGCTATAGGAATCCTATTTCATCATTCCATTCATTATAGTAGTAGTCAAGTGAATGCAATCAAATTGATTATTCCATTCATTCATTTCAATTGATGCTAGAGATCCTTTATAAGGAGTACCTCAATGTTTTATAGTCTTCTAAATTTAGGTAATATGAATCCTTTTAATAGTCAAGGAGAAGATGTATTGAAGTAAAGGAAACATGGTTCTAGGATATGAGCGTCATAACTCAGCAATCTGAAGTCTTCTCAAAAAAATAGGAATTCAAATATGTTACATGAACACACAATACCAAATTAAGTAAATATGTGCAAATTCAGTAAAAAAGTACATACATGCAAATATCATCTTAAATTGATGGTCCAAACTGATTAGAACATTCTTTACTACAAATAACATCTTTTGGGTTATTGTGCTAGTTAATTATGTATTGGCACTAAGACTTTACCACTACAAATAACATCTGGTTGGTGGTGTTGTCCTTTACATCACTAGTATGCATGCTTTGCACAAAAAAAGTGTGTTCTCCTTTGAACTATATGCAGCTTAAATCAGGTATTAAATACATGGAAGCGTCTCCCATACCATGTAGTCCTTCAAGAGAGTGACCAAAGAAAATATAAGATTGGTGATGGATCATCTCTTTTCTTGGGTGTTAGCTTAATTTAGGTTGCACCTTGCATAAACCAGTAAAAAATGCACACCCACACCTAGAGTTGGGCTTCAACTCAGAATAGTGCACATAAAATGAAGAATGAGAGTGAACTATTGCCCATGTTTTCTATTTGGTTCATCTTAATTTTGATTTTAGACTTGAATGTCTAGCCATTAACCAGGTGCGACAATCATTGAGAACACCCACTAAAAGATTAGGAAGACTGTCCAAGTCTGAGAACACCAATTCACCCATTCTAAGATGGTGTGTTAATGGTCTGACCCCTTGAATGTATCAATTGGTTCAACTATGTGGTTCAATATCTAGTTTGTCTGAATAATACTCAGTAGAGCATGCATTATGATTTTTTTCTACAAATTTAATTAAGGCATTAACCAAATAGGTTCAGGCCTATAATATCCAGATGGTGTGAATAATACCTAGCAGGGCATGCATTATGATTTTTTTCTACAAATTTGGCTCACACATCGACCAAATTAGTCCAGACCCATAATAAACATATATTTTAGGATTAGGCATTGATCAAGCAGGTTTAGACCTGTCGCAAACATGTCGAGGGTTTAGGTTTAAGCATGTAACAAACAAGTCAATATTTGTTTCATAATTGTAATAAATAGGTCGAGCTCTGGGTTCAGTCCGACATGCCTATCTCTAGGTTTAAACCTATAACAAACATGTAAAGGCATTAGGTTCAGACCATCTAACAAATAGGTCAATCACTAGTTTAGACCTACAATAAACAAGTCTACCTTGGGGTTCAATCCACTAACAAAAAGGTCTACCTCTGGGTTCAAACCTGTCACAAACATGTCTAGGGTTTGGGTTCAGACTTGTAACACCTAGTTTAATCATTGGGTTCAGCATAGGGTTCAAATCAATAAACAAGCAAGCCAATCATTGGTTCAGACCTGTAACATTTAGATCAATCATTGAGTTCATGTTAGATAATGTATGCCCTAATCTCCAATCAGATCGATGTACAAATACATTTATTGTAAATGAATAAAAGCACATTATTGTTTCATGTTGATATTGGTATGTTTTTGTGAACTTACCCCTTAAACTGGACATTTATGAAACTCATTTTAGTTTAAAATGTTCTCAGCTGTTGGATAGACTTGGGAAGTTTATCCTGCCAAGACTGACACTAATGTGTTGCCAAAGAAGTTGGGGCAGCTTGTCTCAGCTGCTAAAGTTCTACCCAAAGCACATGCAATGTGTGTTTGGATGAAACATTGAACCCAGATCACTTTCCAGTTATGTGTTGGACCTTGGAGATTAATAGACAAAACTGGAAAGTTACACATAACCCCTAAATTTGATTATGTTACTACACTAGGTGTTGGATTCGATTGTCTTTGACATGCCAATCAGTGATATCCGGGTCAAACCCTAGGTATGTTGGGACARTCTAAGAAATCACCGATGTTGGTGATCGTAACGATAGAATCGGCCCCTCTGTCGGACAAAGTGAATGATAGGGTTTACACTCTTTCTAATGGAAACCTAAACGGACGGCAATGAATTTCAACAGTGTTTTGAAATCTGATTTTGTAGGGTGAGGCTATTGGACAACCTGAGGTGATTGGTAGGGACAGATTGAGTAAAATGTGTTTGGATGGGGCAGATCTGAAAAGGCCTTGATTCGGTTAATTAAGAGCTTCGAAACGGAATCTTTGTATGATCGAGGGGCAAACAAGGGTATGTTGGGCTAAAATTTCACAGGTAGGTATTTTAGAACATATGGGCTTGATGGCAATGTCTGATTGGTCTAGGGAGGTCTAAATTGTGGGAATTTGGGTCAATGGGATATTCCGAAATGGAATCTTGGTTTGATGGTGGGGTAAATGAGGGAATCTGGGGTTAAAACTTTATGGGTAGGTGTTTTTATGTATTCAAAGTTTAATGGTATGGTTTGATCGATTTGGATGTGTTAAGATCAAGGGAATTTGGGTTTTGAGTGTTTAAGCTAACAAGAAAGGTTGAAATGGAATCTTGGATTTGATGAGGGAGTAAATAAAGGAATTTTTAGTTAAAATTTTATGGATATGTATTTTGGGAGGTCCTGGGTCTGATGGTTGTGCTTGATCTAATGGTTGAGGTGTAAGTGAGGGTCGATCAGGGCCATCGGATAAGTATCATGCATGTTTAATAGTGGATCTAAGGGCTCTCGGGGTGAAACTCGGGTTTTTA